GGACTATTATTATTACTATTATTCATCTAGTCTACTTAATAGGTTCATAGGATGACAGACCTAGAGTTGGAGAGGCCAGGTAGGCCATCCGCCCTTTTACAGATGAGGAAACTGAGGTCCAGGGTGATGAATTTTCTTTTTTTAGATTATTGGACAAAAGATCCAGAGCTGGAAGGGATCTCAGAGACCATTAAGTTCAATACCTTCATTTTATAGATGAGGAAACTGAGGCTTAGAAAGACGAATGACTTGTCTAAGGTCACACAGCAAGTAAGAGACAGAGCTGGCATCTGAACCCAGGGACTATGATTCCAAATTCAGCACTCTTTCAATTACACTGTCCTGCAATGATGATGATGATGATGGTGATGATAATGATGATGATGATGATGATGGTGATGATGGTGACAATGTGTTGGAGCAGGGATTCTGACTTTGGACCCCTCGACTCTAAACCCGATTGTCCTTACTGTACACACTGAATACCCTGGCTACTCACTCTGCCTATTATTGTTACAGTGATGGGTCTTTAAGACCACCTTAGCTTGGGCCATCAAGAGAGAACCTCCCTAGACCTTCGTCCATGATTTCACTCATTTTCACAACTCACCAATTGAGATGGGGAGTAGCAGTGATTAGACCCATTTTTATAGATGGGAAAACTGAGGCTCAGAGAAAGGAAGCAATTGAGAGAATGAGGCAACAGCTGAGCCATGTTCTCCCTCATTCTGGGTCCCATCCTTGTTTTGTGAGGGCCGTGCCACCCCCTGATTAGTTGGTCATTCCTGCTCCCAGATGGAGGAGGCTGACGCTGAAGGTGGCGGAAGTAATTTGGGCTGTGGGTGCATCCATCTGTGCACCAGCCTGAAGTCATAGGCCTGGGATGTAATTTGCAGCCAGGGCCTTGATGGCGGAGTGGGCTGGAGAGCCTCAGACATCCACTTCACCTTCAGGTCGGAAGTAAGAAAAACCAGTCTTAATTAGGCAGACTAGGAGTGAGAAACAGCTGCTGTAGGCTGCCCTGGGCTGTGTCAGGGGCTCGCTCAGCTTCCTGGGTTTTCTGAAGGATGCTCAGTGGCCCGGGCTCATCCCAGATTAAACATACACAATCCACATGTTCTGCTGCACTTGTAGCTGTGGCAGTTATTAATAGCCTTCAGGAGGCACCCTAATAATATTTATATTAGATTTATAAATATATTTTATATATTTATATTATTACTATGTGCCAGGTACTGTGCTAAGCACTTTACAATTATTATCTCATTTGATTCTCACAACAACCTTAGGAGGTAGGTGCTGTTCATATCCCCAGTTCACAGATGACGAAACTGAGGCAGACAGAGGCTAAGTAAATGCCCAAGGTCACAAAGCTAGTATGTATCTACGGCTGGATTTGAACTTAAGTCTTTCTGACTCCAGGCCCCATGCTCTGCCCCTGGGTCACCTGGCTGCCCCAGATCTCCTTCCCAGGAACCACGTTCCCATATGCCCCTCTCAAGGTTACCAGGCAACAGGAGGAAGCTGGACCAGGAGATGACCACCCACATGGGTTCTTTTTTTGTGCTCACTGGATGCCAATACTGCTAGCAGTCCGGGGCGGGGGTCTGAAGACACCAAGGAAGCCCAGTGGGAAGACCAAGTGGATGGGAGTTGGAAGAACCCGGTTTGAATCCCGAGTCAGTCGCTTCCAACTTGTGTGATCTCGGCTTCTCTGGACTCCATGGCTGGGCCCAAATCCCACTTTCTGCAGTCCTTCTCCATTCTGTCCCACCCTGCTCCTCTCCCCTCCCTTGTCCTCTGATACATTCCTGCCTTACCTCCCAGGGTTGTTATGAGAATAACAGAAGACAAATCCCATGAAAGCCCTTTGGAAAGCGTCCAACGTGCTATAGAAATGTGAGGCATTAGAAAAGTGGGCTGGCTGCCTCCTCTCTACCTTCCCAAGGAAGCCACTCTGCCTAATAGTTTCTTAAGGACTTATACGGGCAGGATTCTTCATTAAACAAGATTGGGGCCTCAGCAGGTGCCTCTACTGGCAGAGTGTACTTTGAGCTGTTCGAAGGGCCAGGGAGCAGAAGAATACAGACTCTGAGAGGGGTTTTCCCCCATAAGGAAAAACGCCATCTGAAAAAAAACCGAGTAGGTTTTGACACATCACATCTATAGATGAAGAGGGAGGAGGGAACTCTGAGTCATAATGGCTTTTTTTTAAATACAGCAAAATAATGCATGTCAACATATCTGGAGCCAGCCGGTCTGAATAGGAGCACTGAATTGTGATTTTTCTTAACTGTGACTAGGAAAAAAATAACGAACCCCGCCACAGCCCTGCACCTGGGCTGAAACGCCGGGTCTGGGCAATGCACGTTCAGTGTTCCTTTTCGCTTGGCTGTGTTATTCATTGCTGGAGGGAACCAGGACTAGGCTTTGATCATTGGGGGGCGGGCCAGTGGAGGCTTCGAGAAAGCATCTGAGGCACTGCCTGCATGACAAGCTAAGTCCCCACGTCCTCAGGGCTGCTGAGGAGGACTCCTTGGTCACTGATCCTGGGAGAGCCGCTAAGTTCACTGGTGGGTGAGATGACGTCAGGGCTGGAGGGGACCTCCCAAGTCATCTAAAGCCACTCCCTCATTTTCCAGAGGCACAGAGAGGGCACTGCCATCTATCTGGGCACGCTGGCTCAGAACCTCAGCATCGTCTTCAACCCCTCACTCTTCCTCACGGACAAGTCTTGCTGTTTCTATCGCTACCATCTCTCCCATTTGCTACTTACGATATATGTGTGTCCTTGGCCGAGTAAATCCCCGCACCCCTCTGGGCCCCATTTTCCTCATTTCTAAAGTGAGGGGGTTGGCTTGAACGGCCCCTGAGGTCACTTCGAGCTTTAGGTCTACGATGCTATTAGTCACTAAGCCCTTCTCAGACTCAGTTTCCTCATCTGTAAAATGAGAGGCCTGGACTAGATGGGCTCTGAGGTCACTTTTCTCCACTTTCACAGCTCTGCTCCTAGGTTAGGCCCCATCATCTCTTGCCTGGATTATGGCAATAATCTCCTATTTGGTCCCCCTGCCTCAAGTCTCTACCTGCCTCTCTGGGTACTGGTGTCTTCTCTCCCCAGCTACTTTGAATCTATTTTGTATATATTTATATGTGTACATGTAGCCACCCTGACATGTGACCTTACAGGATGTAAAATCTTTGGGGGAAGGGGCTGCTTCATTTCTGTCTTTGGATCTCCAGAGACTAGCATGATGCTTGGCATGTTCCTTGAGACATACTTGTCAATTGATTGAGACTGTTCAAGCTGGGAGGGAGGGACGTTGTGGACTGAGTCTAACCCTTTCATTTCACAAATGAAGAAACTGATGTCCAGAGAACTTGTGTAAGGACATCAGAGTTGAGATTGGAACCCATTCAGGATGACAGACTTAGAGATGGAAGCGCCCTCTGAGGCCATCTAGTCCATCCCCCTTATTTTACAGATGAGGAAACTGAGGCTGAGAAGGTCTAAGTGACTTACAGTATCATAGACCTGAAGTTAGATGTGACCTCTGAATCCAAATCTAGTCCATTTTATAAATAAGGAGAATGGGATCCTGACGGTTACGGTGACTTACTCACCCGTCACACACATCATTAGTGGCAGAGCTAAAATTTGAACACTTGTATTCTGACTGCAAATCCAAGACTCTTATCACTACATCATACTTAAAGAGATCCAGATACACTATAATCCTTCCAGGATTATACGCTGCCTGACTGCAATGATCACTAGTTTCTTTCTCTGTGTTTCTGACTTCCTCCTTCTCCCCACCCGCTTTATCTCTCTCTGTCTCTGTGTTGATTTGTGATTTCATTGGTATGGGGGAAGGCCTTGGGGGGGGACTCCCTCCATTGGTGTGGATTGGGAACCCATCTATAACATAACTCATCTATAACATAACCCATGGATAACATAACCCACCCATAACTATAACTCATCTATAGCATAACCCATTCATAACTATAACCCAGCTAGGGGCAGCTAGGTGGTGCAGTGAATAGAGTACTGGGCTTTGAGTCAGGAGGACCTGAGCTCAAATCCAGCCTCAGACCAGACACTTGACACTTACTAGCAAGTAAGTCACTTAACCCCAACTGCCTCATCAAAAAAACAACAACTCTATAACCCAGATAGAGCATAACCAATCTATAACATAATACATCTATAACATAACCCATCCATAACTATAACCCATCTATAATTATAACTCTTAAAAGAGCTGCCCAAGAGATGTTAGGTGAGTTGCCTATGGTCACAGACCCAGTATAGATCGGAGATAAGACCTGAGCCCAGGCCTTCCTGATTCCGTGACTGGCTCTCTATTTACTCTGCTACACTGCCTCACTTCTTGCACATCGAGGTATTAATATTTTTTCACATGTATACGTATGCTGTTGAATTTAACCAAATACAAGTTTACTTAAAAGCATTACGAAGTTCAGCACAACTTGCCTTTAACATCCATTTTCTCAATTGATAGATACTAATAGTATAACTATCATTGGAGGTTCTGCAAAGTTTTTTATTTTACGAAGAGGCCCTCATACTTAAAAAGGTTGAGGACTACCGTTTTAGGGCTTACTCAGACAAGGTAGACAATTCCCAGACAATCAACTTAGAGGCAAACACATGGACTACAGATTCAGAATTAAAACAAAACATCTCAGATAGTTAAAAAAAAAAGAGGTGGATCACCATGTGGTAGAAGGGGCCCTGGACCTGGCATCTGAAGATTTGGGTTCAAATCTTGGCCCTGTTCCTTATTATCTATGAGAGGCTAGGCAAGTTTTTTTTAAGCCACTTTGAACCCCAGCTCTAAAGGAAAGAACTTTAAGGTCCCTTCCAGTTCTACACCCTATGAAAAACAAAAATTCTGGACTAAATAGCATCTGCAGCAAACCATACTAAGTGTCTTCATCAGTGACCCACAAAAGATTTTATATATATCTATATATCTATATATATATCTTTCTCGCTCTCTATATACATAGAGAGCAAGTTACATATATATAAAATATATATATATATATATATATACTCTCACTTCCATTTACTTTAATCCTTTAGAATTACATGGTGCTTTTATATCCACTGTCTCACTGAACCTTATAACTGGTAGGCATCATTATCTCCGTTAAAAAAACAACAACTCTATTTTCTGTTATTCTGAACTTGACAAACACCAACAAACGCAGACATTTCCATATGCAAGAACAGAAAAGGAGAACTGTAAATGAAAAGGCAAATTTCTACTATTTAGCTTGTTCTTTTTAAAGTATTAATAAATTCATCACGTTCCTTTCAAAGCTGTCCCCTTGCTTATATCTCCCTTTGAACTCTCTTCTCTGCTGTTCTGTGCATTTTTTCCCCCTGGAGAACACTCTATTTTGCCGCACGCAGGACTGACTCACAGCGGCCTATGGACAATCGGTATTAATCTCTGCCTTTTTAGTGAATCCCACCACCCTAAGCACCCATAGGGGTTTTCAGTCAGTGTTACTCCAAGCCTCTGGACTTCCCTAGAAGGGAAACAAACCTGGGGCTGCTGGAAACAGGCAACCTGTCACATTCTGGTAAGCCCATCTTCCACCCCCACCACAGGACTATAGAGCCCTGCAATCTTCTAATACTATCCTAATTGTCTGGGCTCCCTTCACCATCTGTGCATTTTAAAAAAATATGCCTCAATGACCCTCTTTTCTTTCTTCTTCTGTTTTGGCTTCACTATTATTGTTCCCTAATTTCTCTTTAAATCTCTTTCCTCCCAAAATTAAAAAAAAAAGAAACATTCTCCTCATTGAAGAAAATGAAGTTATGAAGAAGTAAACGTCCTTGCTTGAGGTCACAGAGCAGGACAAGGACAGGACAGGGGCTTGGCTTTGAACTCAAGTCCTTCCAGGCTTCTGTCCCATTATCCTCTGCCTGACAGTCTCCTACAGTGACCATGCTTAGCAGTCTCAGGAAGCATGACTTTAAAGTTAATCGTGTCTTCAAATCGCCTTCCTGTTCTTATTTTACTAGCATGAGATGCAGCCCACCTTCATGAGATGGGGTTCTCGCATTTAAATCAAATGCGGGCAGGGACTTGGGGTGTCTAGCTGCTACTCTGCCAGGTATCTGGAAGGATAACTGAACAAAAAAACTGGCACACGGCCTGATCCCATGATTGCTCCACTCAAGTTGTCTCTCTGTTAAAATGATGGTATTAGTCTTGCCATCAGCTGCCAGGCAGAAGGAGAAGGAACCAGAAGGGACAGCTTATCTCTAGGCTGAAACCTTAAAGGAAGACTTTTTGCTGGAGGGGAAAAAATGTAGATCAACAAATTCTGGGGTGATTTGGACAGGGCCAGCTGACACACAGCTGCCTCCAAACTTTCAAAATGGGAAAGTTAAGTTTCTTGCCATTTTCTCCCTAATTAAAGCTTGGCATAATGATAAAGCAACTGATTGAAAGTCTCGAAAAGCAACCGTCCTCGGTCTTCATTAATTCTGCCTCAGATCTTTCCAGCAGCATGGAAAAAATAGCTAATGAGGACTCATTAGAATAACCTTTGGCCGGAGAAATCATTGGTGTGCACCATGTAACCACTGAATATTTCACCACTGTTAAATATTTCACCTCCGACCTGTACGACAGGTTTTAGTTCTTTAATATGTCAGATTCTTTTGATAAGGATGCAATTTCTCAAACTTTGGCAGTGCTGGGCAGATCACAGATAGCTCGCTGTGAAATGACAAGGCAGGGTGGTTTTAATAACCCTAAATAACTTATAAAATGGACTGGGGAATCTGGAAAGCAGTGCACCAACATTCCTGGGACCTGCTGGCCTTGAGACTGGGCAGAACAATACTGCCATTTTTTTTTTTAACTCTCACCTTTGGAATCTGCATGTCTGGAGTTACCGCAGCTGCCTTGAGGAAAATTTCCTTTCTAAATAACTATGATCTAAGGCTAAATGGAAGACTGCAGCCTGGAGATATTTAGGTCTAACTGGCCCATTGTGTAGACTCAGTAAATCTTAAACAACCATACCAGGTGTTGACAGAACAGACCAGGAGGGGTAGGCATGCAGAGAGTAGGCATCTTTCTCCAGGTTCCAGCAGTGGGTGGCCACAATTATCAGGAACGCCAGTTTCTACCTTATACTACTAATCTCTGCATCACTAGGGACTCATGATCCCCTTGAAACCTACCCATGCCATCATGAACAAGTAGCCTTGATGATCCCTGCTCCCCAGGCAGTAACATGAATAACAGTATCTCACCTCTGTCTAGCACAAAGATTCGTAACCTGGGGTCCCTGAGTTTGGTTTTAAAAAATGTTTTGATAACTGCATTTCAATATAATTGGTTTCTTTTGTAATCCTATGTGTTTTATTTTGTGCATTTAAGAATAATAATCTGAGAAGGCGCCCATGACACTACGAGACAAAGGATAAGAAGCTTTTTATACTTTTCAAAGTTCTCTCTCACTGATTGTCTTACTCAGTAATCTTAGGGTTGGCCTAATGGTTATAGCCAGCAAATCAACAAGCTGACGTATCAATAACAGTCCCTATCTGTTGACCACACAAATTCTCTCCCGGGCTTCCATAAGAGAGAATTTCACTTGTGGTGCTCTTGCCAGCTGTTTGTTGAGAATCGATGAAAAAGCATTTATTAAGTGCTTACTGTATGCCAAGAATAAAAGCTTTAATTAGGCTGGTGAAAGTCTTTCTGTTAAATACCCCAATACCCTGGTTAGCTATGGATATTAAAAAAAACAAACCTGCCATTTCCTTCAAATCTGAGACCATGGTTTTCCTACGGTCTGTAAAGACTCTTAGTTTAGTGGACAAATGAGGAAGGGGCCTTTTGGCCTGAAAAATGACTAACTCTATTTTAAGATTCATCTTGTGTTATGCATATGAATCTAGAAATGATTCTTTTAAAAGGAGAAATGGATTTGCTTTTGAGGAACCTTATTTAATTCACAATTTCAAACCAATTGCATTTATCCCTCCATAAATTCTCTGGTTGACTGCAATTTTATATTCCAGAAGATGGACCATCTTAGAGAATAATTACAACTCACGATTTCTTCTGACACTGTTAATGTCTGAGGAACTAATAAAAAAAAAAAGCAGAGCTTTGCCTGTTTCACAAATGATAGGGCAGGAACTGGCAACTCCAATTTCTGGCCTAAAAACTGAGGTGGACCAGGAGAACGCCTGCAGGGAAAGGCTCCCACTTCCCACGGGGTGGATCGCTTTTGAAGCAATAATAGCATCTCACATCCCTTTTGTAGCTTAATAAAATCTATTCTTCCATGTGAGGTTAGCAGTATGAGTCCTGGACGTGGCCTTAGTTCAGATCAATGTGGGAATCTTCCGGTGTGGAAATTCCCTACATTGATGCAAACTGGCCACTTTTCTGGAACTTTTGGGTCTTAGCGGAGTTCCTGGGAGGCACTGAGATGTGCCATGGGTAGGGCATGTGGGCATGTGCCATACTTAGGGCCATATATCCGGTATGCGTCAGAGATGGGACTTAAGGCCAGGTCTATCCACCAGGTCATGCTGCCTCCCTGTATTAAGTATTACTGCCAGATGAGGAAATTGATGCACAGAGAAATTAAGTGAATTGTCTGTGGTCACACAGAGCTGAGACTTGAACCCAGGTGTGTAGACCCCACATCTGGTGCTCCTGCAATACCAGACTGCCTTTCATGAATTACATAGGCACCAAGAAGCACTGAAGCCCCAGGTCATATTACCTCGGTTCCAACCCCTTCCAATCCCAAAGGGCTACTTATGCAAACCCTAGAATATTCTATTAGTCATCAAGCAGCAATCACATATTAGGCACCTACTGTGTCTGAAAATGGTTTCCTTACAGGAGTCAAGCAATAAGGAAAAAGAAGAGAAATGATTTCCAGGGTCTTTCCTGCGGCAGCTGTGGGTATACAAAGCCATATGGGGCACGGTCCATTGTCCCCAGCTTACATTTCATTTAGGGAGGGCTCGGGTGGCAAGCAGGGAAGGGAACATAGAGAGATTTCCAAATCACTGCCTGGACTGGGAGAAAGAAGACAGAAGTTCATGAAATACTCACTTGTGAAAAATCAAAGCCTTGTTTGGCTGATATTTGTCTGTGCTAAAGTTTAAGTGGCATTAAACATGGAAACGCTCAAACCCAGAGGGAACAGAATGGTTTAACTCATGCGTTCAGGGATCTAAGATTCATTTCTTTTCATATTTCATTGCGCAACGCACAAAAATGTAACTGATGTTACACTCGTTTAGCTGAAAATTCATCACACATGCCTACTGCCCTTCCCCTGTGCCAGATCTCTCCTATGGAGAGACCAGAACCCAAGTGTCCTGGTCTCCAGTGCCTGGTCACAGAAGTTCAAAGAAAGAGGGAGAAATTAACAGGTGTCTCGATAGCTGTTTCCTGCAACTACACATGGACCTCATGATGAGGGTTAAAGAAAGTAAGAAGAAAATCTCGAGGGATATCCCTTCTGCCTCTGCAGGAAGGGCGTAGAACTCGTGGCCGACACCGGGGCTCATTTTTATTCCTCAACAAATTCACCAAGCCCTAAAAATAGCCCATCCCAGCTACACAACAGCATGAGCTGCCCAAGCCGGAAAGAGCAGGGATTTGCAGATTTAAGCAATTTGACAAGGAACATGGATGGAAGCTCACCACTCCCCAAAGGGGAGTGTGGCTTCTCCTCATACCTATATTTCATCCCAGGCTGCTTCATGTTGGCGTCGCTGGACGGAGGAACGTTGTGCACGGACAGCTGTCCCAGGCTCCGGGCTACCATGGCCACTGCCCGGAATTTGCTCCTGGTGCCCAGGCTGGGGCTGCCGGCATTCTGCCTACTGAGCCGGTCTTCGGCACTTCGACCCTTCAGGCTGTGTTCTGAACACACAAAAGACACCTGCATGGTGGCCAACTTTTTCCTTGGGGTTTCTCTCTCTTTCTTCTTCTCGTTTTGTTATCTATTGGAAGTAGCTTGTCCTCCAGAAACTGGAATGCAGTTTATTCATGGGGAGGTGAAAAATCCAAAAGGCCATTCAAGGACTGTCAAAGGCAAAGTAGGAAAAAAAAACCCTCCAAAGCCAGTAGCATCTTCTATTGGCTGATCTTTCAAAAGGGAAAAATATGAACTATCCAGGAAGGTGTCATAAAATACCTTCTCACTGAAGACCTGCTGGGCCATCTTGTCTTCTCGCTCACATCCTGCCTGCGTCTGGGGAATGCCTTGCCTTCCCCTCCCCTGCCAATCCTGCGGTGAGCTCCCAGACAGTTTTTCAAAGTTTCATCTTGTTTTGTAACTCACCCGAGGATGGGCATCCTCCAAAAGCAGTTTCTTGTAGGCATGAAGCAAAAGGGGGAAAAAAAATCTCTCAATCTTCCTCACTTCCTTTCAGGGAAGGGAGATCTTGATCCACTCACAGGTACTGTGTCACAGTGGCTTCCATGCATGATGTAACTTGTACCCAGGAGCCCAGGGGAGGGGCAGATATCTCTGGAGACACGAGGGGGTTGAGACTGCCCAGGCTTTAGCTCCCTCACTGGTCTTCTCCGTGGCTTTCTGGAGGGGGACTGAATGACGACTGTACCACTGAATGCTGCTGAGCCCTCTCCTAAGTCAATTAGGTGACCAGTGAGCTGAGCAGGAAGAGTTTGGCAATCCATTATTAATGAATCGGGGATACACTGGGCTGTCTCTCCCCCGACAGAGAACTCGGATGGCCGCCACTTGCTCCAGAGCCTGTGTGAGCACACAGCTGCTCTGTGGGCTGTTTGCTGCTCCCGGGGAGGGACCCAGTTATGAGGCAAGGTCCAGGGAAAAGGCTCTGGATGGAGGACTCAGCCCGGAGCCACAGATGGTGAAGTCAAAAGGTGGAGCATTTTGGGGAACAAATAAGAGCTTATTCAAATGATTTCTAAGGGAAAAAAAAAAAAGCAAAACACTTGATAGATTTCTTGCACTTTTAGCTGGTCTCCTGGAAGGAGACACTACTGGCCGTAGAAGAGATTCATGCAATATTCAAGCTGGGTCAGAGGCAGTGCCACTGGGTGTTAGTTTGGCATTCAGGAAGACCTGAGTTCAAATTCCACCTCTGACATTTACTTGTTAAGTGACTACAGATGAGTCATCTAATCTCTCTCTCAACCTCAGGCAACTCCCTAGGACTCTAAGTTATAGATGAGTTGCTATCTCTCCTGGTGGAGGAAGATTCCACACTGGAAATCCAAGATCTCTGATACAAGCCTGACATCAGAACCAAAGCTATGCTTTGGGAAGGGAGACAGGGCAGAGGAGAACAGGGAGAAAGGAAGGAGATTTCTCTGTGGCCAAGTTTGGAGCACTGTGCTAGAGATTCCAGACAGCTGTCACTCTAACATTAAGCATGTATTATGTGCCAGGCACTGTGCAAAGTGCTGGAGATGATACAAAGACAAAAGAGAATCAATCCTTGTTCTCAAGAGCTGGCTTTCCAGCCAGCTTCAAACTTGGAATTTTCATCTGGAGGTCAGAGCCTTTTTACCCACTTAGTGTAGACATAGTCAAAGAAGCTAAGTTGGGAAAAAGCAGTGACCTGTCTGAATGTTCATACCACACAAGGTTCTGGGACACAGATTTGGAAGGATTCCGTATTTTCTGTTCCAAATCAAAGGCCATCTCCTCCAGGAAGCCTCCAATGATCTCATTCCCTTAGCTCTCACAAAGCGCTCTGTTCTGAACTTTTCTAAGGCACCTATTATGCAATGTTGTATATTAAGGTTATTTATGTCTGTGTCTGATCCTTCTGACTTGGGTTCTTAATGTGAGGTCTGTGAACCTTGGTTTGAAATTTTCTTTTATAATAATATTTCAATATAATTAGTTTCCCTTGTAATCCTATGTATTTTATTTTATGTGTTTAGAAACATTATTGTGAGAAGGGGACCATAGGTTTCCCCAGACTTCCCAAGGGATCCATGACACTAAAAAGGTTGTTAAGAAGCACTGTTCTAACTAGGAAGTTAACACCATGAGGTCAGGCAGGGATGACATCTCATCAAAACTTTGTGCCCAGCACAGAGTGTCATAAATTTTAAGCATTTCTGTTGAAGAAATGAATGACTAAATGGTGAAGAAACTCTTGAACCAAATAGGCAGAGATATTCACCACCCTCTTCTCCCTCAGCTTGGGTTCTCCTGGTTAGAAGCAGGCAGTGTTATGAGGTGAGGCAAAGAAAGGGTGAAATGCCATAGAATTACTCTCTTCTGTCTCTTCTCATTAAGCTAAACTTTGGAATTCTTCCTTTTCCCCTGAAAGGGCCCTCTCCTGAGGGTGAAAAACATCAGTCTGGCTTTCCACCCATATAGCAAGTGCTCACAGAGCCCAGCAGGGAGGGGCTACGTCCTTGCAGTCTGGAATTCTGGTGTGAGAGGACTGACGTCCAGGAAAAAGGAGGTGCTGGTCCTCCCACTGCCCTCTGCTGTGGTGACACCACACTGGGGGTGCTGTAGTCAGTTCTGGGCCCACAGTTTAGGAAGGACATTAATAGGCTGGAGAGAGTACAGGGGAGGGGGGATCAGGATGATGGAGAGTCTTGGGTTTATGTCATATGAGAATTGGTTAAAGGAATGGAAGGTAATTAGTCTGTCAAAGAGAAGGATCAAGGGAGGATGCTGGAGTCATCCTCCAGTACCTGAAAAGTTGTATCAAAGCAGGAGAGGAATTGGATGGGTTGCTACATGGTGCAGAGGACTTGGAGTCAGGAAGACCTATTGTGCTTGGCATATAGTAAGTGCTTAATAAATGCTTGTTGATTGATTGGCAGCTAGGTGGCATAGATGAGTCAGGAAGACCTGAGTTCAAAACTTGCCTCAGACTCTTCCTAGCTGTGTGACCCTGGGCAAGACACTTCAGCTCTGCCTGTCTCAGTTTCCTCATCCCTAAAATGGGGATAATAAGAACACCTCCCTCAAAGGGTTGTTGTGAGGATCAAATGAGATAATATGTGTAATGCATTTTGCAAACCTTAAAGCCTTATTCAAGTGCTAGCTATCATCATCATCATCATCATCATCATCATCATCATCATCATCATTTTTGTTATTGGTCCTGGAAGGTAGAACCAGGAGCAAGAAGGGGAAAATGCAAAGGGGCAGATTTAGGATTGATGCCAGGGAACCCTTCCTGGCAATTAAACCTATTCCAAAGTAGAATGGGCTGACTTAGAAGGGAACTTTCTCTACCTCTGTGGAGGTCTTCAAGCTGGATAGCCATTTGTTGGGGGGTTTGGAGAGGGTGCTCTCTTTTAGGCAGGGGTTTGGCTCTTTGCTTTTGACCTCTGCTACGTGGCCCTGGGTGGTAGTTCAACTGTCAGGGTTTGCCCTGGACAAAATCATGTAGCAAGTGACCCCTCCTGATACACCTCCTGGCCTCAAGTTTCCCCGCTCTCCAATTCATCCTCCACACAGCTGCCAAAATGTGGAGACAGATCGCCAGAACTAGAGCAAAAAGGGACCTCAGAAATCACTGAATCCAACCCCTTCAATTCACAGATGAGGAAACTGAGGCTTGTAGGCGAGTGACTCACACAGCTAGTAAGTGCAGGAGTAGGATCTGAACCCAGGTCTTCTTGGCTCTACACTCTCTCTGCTAGGCCAAGAAGTCTCCTAACGTTGACTCCCCAGCACCACAAGCTCACCTGGCTCCCAGTTGACTCCAGAATCAAATACCAATTCCTCTGTTTGGCATTTAATTTAATTTAATGTTAGCCATTCATGAGTGGCTAATCACTCATTTACTTTCCTTCATGGACATTGGGTCTGGCCCAAGTGGATTGTTCCCCAAGGCTGGACTGCCTTCTCTCTTTACTTCCAGATCTCAGAATCCCTGGCTTTCTTCAGTTCAGCTCAAGCATCATCTCTTACACAATGAACTTTTTCTTGATCTCTGCCTCCTCCCCTTCCCCAGTACGTCTCCCTCGTCCTCTCTCCCCCACAGCTGCTTGTCCCTCCCCCATGACACTACCTTGTGTTTATTCTGTACATACATATAGGTGTACCTTCCTAATAGAATGTAAGCTCTTTGAGGCCAAGAGCTGTTTTGTTTCTGTCTTGGTATTTCCTGCACTTGGCACATGGTACTAAACCCTTACATGCTTTTTGAATCAAGATATTCCCAGCTGTCTTGATATACAGTGGGAGACTCCTTTATCCATCTAGTACAGCCCACTAAGGGACAGTCACTGCCCTGGGCCCTGAAAGTCTCTGGTGACAGGCTCTTCCTATAACCCTAAGTATAACCATATATGGGCTTCCTGACCTGTACACTCTGAATCTCAGAGCTGAAAGGACAGAATTGTGTGACTCGTGAGGTGGAAGCCCCGCTTCACCTGACCTGTACTTGAAAAGGCACTGTTCCTACGACCTGCCTGACACTCGGCCCCCCAGGCTTCCTTTGCTCACCTCCAGTGAGGTGGGGGAGCTTGCTACCCCCAGGGGCAGCCCATTCTATCGGGAATTATTACCATAGCTGTTATTGGGAGTTTTCCCTGATATCAAGGCTACATCTGATTCCATGTAACTCTCATCCCATGCTAGTCCTATTCCTTGGGGCCAAGCAGAACAAAGCTAATCCCTTTTCCATGTGACAGCCCTTTATATATTTGGGGACAGCCACCACGTCCTCCTTAACCTTCCCCTCTACTAAAGATTCCCAGTTCCATTCTCAAATGGCACGTACATGAGCCCTTTCTCTGGAGGCTTTCCAGCCTGTCCATGTGCTTCCTTCCTGAAAGGTGAAGCCCAGGACTGAACGCAACAATCCGGGTACAGTCCGATCAGTGGGACAATCACCTCCTTAGGGGCAGCTAGGTGCACAGTGCATAGAGCGTTGGACTTGGAGTCAGGAATTTTGATCATGAGTTTGAATTCTGCCTTAGGCATTTACTAGCTCTGTGACCCTGAGCAAATCACTTAAGCGCTCTGTGCCTCAGTT